CCCGGGCAGCGGGGGCCCTCCGCCTGTGCGGCTTTGCTCCGGTCTCCCTAGTCTGCTGGGGGGGGGAGGGGGCGCAGCTAGTGTGTCCCCCTCCCCCCTCGAGCAGACCAGGCTTTTGTTGCGGGACGCCGGGGGCTGAGCAGCTGGGGGGCTGCCGGGTTGGTCCTGTAGCGCCACCCCCTCACCTGAGCGGTGCTGCGGGACCCACCTGGCAGCACTCCAGCTGCTCTGCCCCCGTCTTCCCCAAGTCTGCCGCTGGTCAGTTTCAGTAGCAGTGGACTTGGGGAAGCCCGGGGCAGAGCAGCTTCAATCGTCCGGCTGCCTGGAGCACTTCCGGGTTCCGGGTGATGCCGGACTAGCAGGAGTGCTGGTCCACTGGATACTGGACAACTGGAGTTTTACTGTAGTAAGAAAAAAATTGTTTGAAAAATCCAGAAAGTTAATACTGCTGCTGCTTTCTTCCACAGGTGGTTTTCTCACTTTTATATTCTTTCTGTGGTCTGGAATGGCTTCCTGCTCCTAGTATTTATTCAAGCTTTGTTCCTAGTAAGACCTCTCCCGTTATGGCTTCAGGATTTGCTCAGTGCTTTTGGTGAAGCTTCGCAGAACCAGGATGTGGGCAAGTATTCCAAATGTTATGGACACATGCACAGAAGTTGGGATGCGGAATTGTTGCATTCTCTAAGGGATGTCAGGAGAGTGTATCAGATATCATCCCTAATTTATTAATTTATACTAGGGCAGCCAATTAATTGCAGTTAACTCACATGATTAACTCAAAAGATGAATCATGATTAATTAGGGAGGTTCAGTTGCGTTTAATCAGCTAATCGATTAGTCAATAAAGGGAGAAATGAAAGAGCTGCAGTAGGGTTAACTCTTGGACCTGGGAGCTAACCCTGCTGCGGCTCTGCCTTTTAAATGTATTAAGAGCCATCAGGCTCTTAATACATTTAAAAGGCAAAGGTGCAGTGGGGGGACTGGGCACGAGCCGGGAATGTGCTGATTCCTGGCTCACTCCTGGTCCCAGACACTGTGCCTCTATTTCCCCTGCTTCCCCTCCCACCCACGAAGACATTGCTAGCGGGAACCGGCTTTTAAGCTGGCTCCCTCCAGCACTGGCTCCTGCTCCCCCCCCCATTGCTGTCTCTCTCTGATAGAGGCATGGGGGGAGCAAATAGTCGAGTAGTGACTTGACTGGTCCCTTACATCCCTATGATTAATCTCAGTTTAACCACGATGTTGAACAATAATAGAATGCCAAACTTTTTAAATATTTTGGATATTTTTCTACATTTTCAAATGCTGATTTAAATTTCATCACAGAATACAAAGTATACAGTGATCACTTTGATGACCTGCATCTGACGAAGTGGGTCTTTGCCCACGAAAGCTTATGCTCCTACACTTCAGTTAGTCTATAAGGTGCCACAGGACTCCTCGTCGCTTTTGCAGATTCTGACTAACACGGCTACCCCTCTGATACTAGTGATCACTTTGTATTCTTGATATTTGCACTGTAAAAATAATCAACAAAATAAATATTTTCCGTTAACTCATGTACTGTAGTGCAGTCTCTTTATTGTGAAAATACAACTTACAACTGTAGGTATTTTTTTTGTTACATAATTGCACTCAAAACAATATAAACCTTTAGTGCCTTTAGGTCCACTCGGTCCCACTTCTCGGCCATCTAATTGCTAAGACGCAACAAGTTGGTTTACACTTATATTTGATGATACTGGTAGCATCTTATTTATAATATCATCTGAAAGTGAGAACAGGTGTGTGCATGGCACTTTCGTAGCTGGGATTGCAAGCTATTGATACGTAATATGGTTAAACATTTGTATGCCCTTCATACTTCAGCCACCATTCCAGAGGACATTTACATTTGTGATTGAATTTCTTGAGGAGCAGAAATGTATGTGTCTTCTGTGTTATACGCGCATTCTGCCATATCTTTCATGTTGTAGCTGTTTCAGATGATGACCCAACACATGTTTTGTTTTAAGAACACTTTCACTGCGGACTTGACAAAATGCAAAAAAGATTCCAATGTGAGCTTTCTAAGGATAGATATAGCATTTGACTCAAGATTTAAGACTCTGAAGTGCATTCCTAATCTGAGAAGGATCAGTCTGCATTGCTTTGGTTTGTTATCAAGCAGAAATTATTAGCATGGATGCATGTCCTTGGACCGGTGGTTGAATCATGCAGGCACATATGAATCTTTTGCATATTTGGCATGTAAATATCTTGCAACATTGGGGGGCTACAACAGTGCCATGTGAACACCTGTTCTTACTTTCACTGGCATAAGCCTTATGCCTTTTCATGAAGGTGGAGTCATGTTGATGTAGTGGATCTCTTACTTTGGCAGGAGCAAGGCTGTAGTGCAGACACAACATAGCTAGAGTGACATAAGTTGCCTTCTAGCAGCCTAACTATAGGGTATACCCCAAGCCTAAGTCCCTACCAAACTCTCCATCCGTTACAGCAGGTGTGGGCAATTAAAAAAAAATAGTCCCTGGCAGGCCACTGCTATGTTTACCTGTGCCTGTGCCTCAGCAGATATCGGAAGCTCTCAGCTGTGGTTGGCCGTGAATTGCAGCCATTGTGAGCGGGAGGGAGGGAATAGGGCAGACTGCCATGGCCAAGGCTCGCCATGGGCAGAGGCTGCTCTGGCAGCCGCCTTTGTCTGTAAGGGTCTCAGCGGGCCAGGGTTGGCCACCACAAATAGGGGCTGCTGCCCGTGGCCAGCCTTGGCCATTGCAAACAAGGGCTGCTGGACTTGGCATGAGCCAAGACCAAGTAGTTCCACCTCATGCTGGTCCGGGATGCTGCACCTCTGTATTTTAAATGTAGTTAGAGCCTGGTGGCTCTTACTACATTTAAAATGCAGAGCCGCAGAATGGGTGGCTCCTGGAGCCAATGCGCGTGGGACTGCTCAGTCCTGGCTTCACTCGGCTCTGGGAGTTATCCCCGCTGCAACTCTGCAGAGCAGCCCCTTATTGACTAATTGTATACACGATACAATTTGTATCGACTGCACAATTAGCCAGATAACCCCAATTTTTACCTGTGCTTTTTTTGGTGTTTAGTGTGTGTGTCTCGAGAGAGAGAGAGAGAAGATCCCCCCCCCCCCCCCCCCCCCCACACACACACACTTTGGGGTCTTGTATTTTACTTTATATACATTTATTGTGTTGTGTAAAATTTTTTGTAAGCTTCCTTGAACATTTTAAATAAAGAGGTGTGGTAAAAATATTTTAAATAAATAAATATATTTAACATCCTTATGCCAAGGACTCACCCTGCCGACAGGATTTGGGCTGCGAGGCAGAATTTGCCCACCCCTGTATTTGAGGCTAAGGGTTAAATGTGCCTCAGTGTCCTCTTTTTAGCAGGATTCACCATACTTGCAAGTGGCTCCTAATTAAACTGGTAGCACCTACCATTTCTGACCTCCTGCTGTTTGAACTTGCCACACTTCCCCTACTCCCATTCCAGCTAGGAACATAGCTCCTTGGGATTTGAAGATAGGGAAACGTCTTGAGTTAAAGGAAGAAGGTAGAGGAATTCTTTCCTTTATAATATGATACTTGCACTGCAGCTGGAACTCTGTGTCTGGAAATACTGGTTCTGCATCTTTCAGTAAGCTCCTGTCCAGCCCCTGCCTTCATCAAGATGTTAGACTAGATCTGAAATAAACATATTTGATCTTGCATTATATTGGTAAGGAAATATTTTATTTGACAAATTCTAGATAGTGGTGTAATTATCTCAAGATTTTTATAAATTCAGGAGGCCAGAAAAAAAGAATCTTGTGATACTTACAAGTTAATCTTTTCAGTACCACTCAGAGGTACTGGTCTGGAAACCAAGGCACAGAAAGGATAGGTAGTCTTGTTAAAGGCTTTAATCATTATACAGCACTCATAGAAAAGGATGTTTCAGAATAATGTGTTGGTTTAATAGATTTAAAAGTGAACGACAAAGCAAAAATATTTTTGCCCTTTACAGAAGTTTTTAGGGCATATAGAGAGTATTTCATAAATTTTAAAAATATATTCAGGTTTTTCACACTTGCTTTTTTTTTACCTTAGTCAGAAGCATAGAGGACCTGTGTAGCTTCCTTCAACTGAGAGGGAAGGGAATGCTGATTCTATCTTAATTTTTAAAAAGTCTATTTTAATACATCATCAAAATGCAATAAAAACAAAAAAAAGGGGGTGGGGTTGCTTTATGATTCACCTTTAGCACATTCAGTCAATTGGAAAAAAAACACCTTTTGCCTGAAAATTGTTACAAGTAGTACTTAAAATGATTGTCAGTAAATCTTGTAATATCTTATAAGTTATAGCCAAAACTTGGAAAAACCAAATACCAGTCTTTTATTGGATATTTTCACATTTTGGATAAACTTGAGTTATTTGTGCAATTGAAAGATTAAAAATCTCTCTTAAAAGTTTGTTTACATCATGCATTTGATGATATTTTGTGTGTTGTCAGTTTCACTTTAGTCTATTTCCTCTTTTTGTGTGACACTCTCATACACTGAGGAGAGAAGCGCTTTTTACAAAAAATAGGGAAGTTGGCCAGGGAATTTAAAGGTAGCTATTACACCTGCCCTCACTTAAATATATATTTTTTAAATTGTCTCTTTAAAGTCATCAGTGTTTCTTAAGAAACAATAACGAGAGAGACTCAGTGTGATCATCATTCCAATGATGAAAAACATCCTTTCTGTCCAAAAAGACTCACTTTCCATCTTTCAAGGCAGTTGTCTTAAAAATACATATATTTTTCTCTTGTTCCTTCTGTTCAGGTTTCATAGTTGATGTCCCTTTGGGTAATTTTAAAGTGAATGCAAGTTAATTTACAGTGAAAACTGTTTTCCAAATGGAATTTGGTGCTCAGTTTCTGAAGAAAGATTTTGAGATTGTCACTTCTGTTTGATTTGTAGGTGACAAACACCTGTCTGCTCTCCTTGTTCTCATACTCTTGTGGCTACACAGCTTTCGAAGGCTTATAGAGTGCCTCTGCATCAGTGTCTTCTCCAATGGTGTCATCCATATTGTACAGTACTGCTTTGGACTTGGGTACTATGTTGCTATTGGCTTAACTGTGCTTTGTCAAATGCCAGCTAATGTCAGCAATGGTGAGTGCCTCTGTAGTGCTAACCATAGTTACAGCTTCTTCTTCATGTGTTTCTAGCATCACAGGATTGTTTGGAGAGGGTAGGGGTGAGCGAGGGTAGTAATGTGTCTAATCTTTTTACCTTTTATCTGGTAAGAAAATTTTATCTCCAAAGCGTTTTTGTGTGCATGTGTCTGTGAGGTAAGAGATATTTTGATGAGATCTAGAAAAGTACTTATTGCTGTTATTTAAAGACTTACTAACTAGCGATCTAAGCGAGTAGTTGACTAGTCAACTGATAAGCCTAGACTTATCAGTTAGTTGAGTCGACTACTTGCATTTCCCCCTTTCCTTGCTGCCTCTGTATCAGAGGTGTCCCAGCCTCCTCCTTCTCCTCCCTCTTCCCCCGCGCTTCTGCCTCTATCAGAGGTAGCAGCATGAAGGATGGGGCGAGGGGAGGCTGCCACGAAGCAGCCTCTGCTTGCAGTGGGCTGGGACCACCACAGCCAGCAGCCGCTGCAGCTGGGCAAGCGGCCCGGCCCAGTCTTGGCTCGCACCGGGTCTGGAACCTATCCCCACTGTGGCTCTGCAGTTTAAGTGTAGTAGGAGGCAACCACACGATAATCGAGTACATGATTAGCGAATTACCTGCCTCTTTACATCCTTATTACTAACCAACACAACATCAATTTGTCAGTGATCACCTGCATACCAGTAGTATGTATCCTAGTTCTGTTCTATGTGGTTTCTCGTCATAGTTTAATGTCTTTTTTTGCTGTATGCCAACATGTCCCTTTGATTGCCAGGTCCAATATATCACATCTTTGTCAATGATGTGCTTCCTTTTTGTCAGTGATGTGCTTCCTCCTTTAGATTAGGGATGTTAAGAACTAGTCGACTAGTTGATTCCTCCCCTTGCTATCTCTATATGAGAGAGGCAGCAAAGCGGAGTGTGGTGGGGAAGAGGTACTTCAAAGTCTCCGTGCCGCACAGCTGATCTGCGGCTCAGCTGTGCGGCACTGCCCCTTTAAAATGCTGCCTCCGCGTTTCAGTGGGGCAGCTGTGGAGCCTGGGGCCAGCTGGGGACTCCCCACCTGATCCTGGGCTCCATGTGGCATTTCCCCAGAACCCAACTTTTGTACATTTCAAAGGAGGAATGCGGAAGTGCCTATCGACTAGTCGATGGAAATTCCATCGACTACTTGACTAGTCAATTAACCTCATTTTAACATCCCTACTCTAGATACCAGCACAGCAGAGGTAAAGATCTCTCTGGTTACATGGCTGTTATAGACTGATGTTTCTCTTTGCTATGGACACTTCTTTTAAGTGTGAGCCAGTCCCAGGCTATCTTGGCTAGTACCTGTCTGGGTCCTTGGTACTTAGTACTTTGTCTTCAAACACCTACCAGTATCTAGTGGTCTGCTTCTCTTTGCTATTTGAGTCATTTAAGTATCCACTAATTCTATAAAGCTCTTTGAATTATGTGTCCTGTTTCTGCCAATATGATGTGCTAAGTCCTACAGCTGAGCTGTTTACTCTGATAAACCAGAGTGCCCAAACTACCTGGTGTGCTTTTCTGATAACTTTTCTTATGTGGTCGGCAGTAGATACAGAATTTACCATTTAATGCGCTCTTAGAGGTGATATTGAGTACTGAATGAGTTTGGTACAGAGAAAGTCATTTCTAGGGGTTTCTGCATACATTTTCTGCCTACCTAATCACAGCATTTCACAGAGATGATGCATTTGGCATAAGCACTGGTACCCATCCGTAGGAAAAATTTCTTGCAAATCAAATGAGTCATCTGTTCTAAACATATTTGTATTGCTAATGTAAATAAGGCAACACAGTTATGTAATGATATTTTGACCTAAGCTATGGCTCTGTCTTCTAATATTGTGGTAAGAATATATTTTTATAAGCACCATCAGAATATAGAATCCGGAACAAAATGATGACCCTTTGTGCTTGTGGTATGAATCCTCCTAATTTGCAGTAGCAGGCAGTTAAAAATAAAGGCCGCAGCAATTCATAACTAGGGACTTAAGGTATGGTTCACCATCTGCATAAGATGTGTTTAAAAGCCCTTTTCCACCAGTATTCTAGAAGAGGAGTATACTGGGAAAAGCTGCAAGATGATACATGCATAAAAGCTGAACTTTTGGGGGGATGGTGGTGAGGATTTAATACAGACTCCTTTCTAACCTTGTATTAATTAATAGGCATGCTGTTTTCATTTAATTCAGGAAAAAACCTCTTTGTGCAAATTTGCTGGTACCACACCCTAGGAATTATGATGTACATTTGGGCCTCTGTTCACCAATATAGATGCCATGTGATTCTAGCTAATCTTAGAAAAAATAAATCAGGTGAGATGTTTCACTTCTTGAAGCTGTTTATGTAATCATTTTTTCCATTAAAAATTGTCACAATGAATCTTTGTAGAACTCAACCCCTTAGAACATTGGTATTTTTCAAAACTCAATAAAATGAATGTTAATGTGAGTATGTATCTATGTAGACCACTTTCCCAGGTGTTAAATTAGTCTATCTGGAAGAGATTTGAAGTTATTCACAGTATGCAGAGTTTAAAACAAAATTCATACTTGTATCATCTTAAATAGAAATATATAAGGTTTAGCACTTGTACGACTTCTTATGTCTAAAATGTATTAGAACACTTAACTAATAACAACAACTACCTAATAAGTGTTCATCATCTCTTTTTATAAATGGGGAGACTGAGGCTTTTGCAACCCAAGGCTATGGAAGGAATTACTTTTCTGAGATACAATTTGAAATTCTCATTCCTATAATTATACCTCATTTCTAAAGTATGGATATCATTATATGTTGTATTGGGAATGAGTTACGGTCACCATTTTCAAACCTAAGTGTCTAAAATTAGGCTCCTTAATCCATATTTAGGCACATAATAAAAGTGGTGAAATTTTTTTCCAAAAGTGCTTTGCACCTATAAATCCCACTCAAGTGAGTGGGAGCTGCAGGTGCTCAGCATTACTGCATAATTTGACATAAATTTTAACTCAGAGCATTTATTAAAATAAATATGGATTATCAACTAATTTTTTCATTTCTTTAATTGCAGGAAAGATTGTAAACCTGAGCCACAATGTTCCTTTTGGAGACTGGTTTGAGAGAGTATCTTGCCCACATTATTTTGCTGAACTGCTAATATATATATCTATGGCTATCACATTTGGGTTTCACAACTTAACCTGGTGGCTTGTAGTGGCATATGTGTTGTTTAACCAGGCACTGGCTGCAATTCTGTGCCATGAGTTCTATGTGAACAAATTCAGCTGCTACCCAACACACCGAAAAGCATTTATACCATTTCTTTTTTAAAATCTTTATTTGTATTAAATAATGTTTTCCATGAAATCTGTGAAATGCTACCTAAAAGGTAATAAAAGACTGAGGTTCTCAGGAGTAGGTGTAATGCCAAATGAAACTTTTAAGAAGTATCTAGCTTATGTACAACCTTAACAGTACATAGTATTAAAGACGTCAGCTAAAATGAAAGAACTGCTGATGTTTGACTTGTGTATTTGACATTCATATTTAATATTTAAAACACTTTCATTGGTGCTATGCAGCAAACCAAAATGTGTGCATGGTTTTTTTATTTAACATGTATGTAGGAAAAATGAAGAGAAAACACTGTATTTCATGTTTTAAACTATTATTTTAAAAGAAAACTATACTCGTCCCTCACCGCCTTTACCATGATATCTTCAAAGAAGCTAACTATTTAGGGATGTGGTGCTTTGCCGCTAAATATTTTCGTATGGATAATTTGAAAGCAGTTGATAATTTTGTGAGTGTGGGGTTAAATTATATCAAGATGTGGGGAGAGGAAATCAGGATATTTTGTAATATGAGGATAAGTCCCTTAAGGTATGTCTACACTACCACCCTAGTTCGAACTAGGGTGGTTAATGTAGGCAACCGAAGTTGCAAATGAAGCCCAGGATTTAAATATCCCGGGCTTCATTTGCATCTTGCCGGGCGCCGCCATTTTTAAAGCCCCGGTAGTTCGGACTCCGTGCCCGCGCCTAGGAGTAGGTAGTTCGGATTAGGCTCTCTAATCCAACCTACCGTTACTCCTCGTTCCACGGGATATTTAAATTCTGGGCTTCATTTGCAACTTCGGTTGCCTACATTAACCACCCTAGTTCAAACTAGGGTGGTAGTGTAAACATACCCTTACTTATTAGCAAACAATGAAACCGACTGATATGGTTTTTATTTGTTTCAATTCACAACTTTCAGAAATACCAAATACAATAAAAGGTTGAGAAACCTCTTTGATGGGAAGGATGTCTATTCCATTGGCTGACTCACATTTCTTAGTAGAAGAAATAAATGTGCTTTTTAGGCAATATTTCAGTGCTCCATAAAGAATGTTTCTTTTGCTATGTTAGTATGTTTGTTGCAGCCTCAGAAAACTGGGTAGAATTCAAGATGCCTTCCCCGCAAGGTATATTAAGAATTGTGATAGCCCATTCTGTTAAGTTTGTGCAAAACTGTAGAGTGGAAATATTGCACTTGTTGGGTGGTATATAAACTTCAAAAAAAGAGGTCACCTACCATATATACTGTTATACTGAGGAGAATAGAACTCAAAGTAGGATGCTACTCTAAAAGTGACCTCTAGTATTTCATTTTCATGTTGTCTCAAGGATGTCCACTTAAATTTGCTTAGCTTTCAGAGAAGATAATACTTTTTCCAACTATCAATCCTACAAATTTGCACTGAGTCCTGACAATCACAGAAGATGATTTCTGTCTCATGTATATGGTTAAGATTCTGTTGTTAGTATTTTTAGTAAAAGTCAGAGACCGGTTACAGGCAAGAAACACGAATTTATGGAAGTCTGCAGCCCATCCTTGACTTACTAAAAATATTAGGGTGGGAGAGGGAGGGAAGAGTTTAAACAGAGCAGGATTGAGCCTTTGCAGCTGTTCTACCCTGTATCTTGTACAGTGAGGACTCCCATGGTTAAGATGTAAAAGATTTCTCAAAGTATTAGAATAGGTATAATAAACTTTAATGATATAGGACATTTATCTACCTCTAAATGACAGGTATTAAGAAGAAACTTCCCCTCTTAGTAAATTATTCCTCATTGTCCATGCCAAGGCTGATCCCCACTCGGGCACTCTGAGCGCAGAAGGTACGGCCTGCAAAGAGCTTAAAATCCTTGCCTCTTCAGGCTCTGTTTACACCCCTCTTGCCCCGCTGCCCAGAGTCACAGATACACTGACTCTGAGAAATAAAAAAGCTGCCACCACCAAGTGAAACAAATACCTTTCTTCTTGAGCCCAGGAAGAAAGTACTTGGACTTCCCCAGTGGTACCCCAAGCTCCTCTGCCACAAAAGAGCTCAAAAAATAAAGAGAAAAATAAGCTGCAGTCTCTGGTAGCTGAACTCTCAGTCTTGAGGCATGCAGACACGCACAGAGAGACAGACCTGTACCTTCCAGGACACAAGAATCAAATAATCACCTTAAAGTGATTATTACAAAACAAAAGATATACTTGAAAAAACCATACTTGGTTGCTAGATGTTACAGAGCAACTAAGGAAAATAAAACAGAGAAAATCTTTGGGAACAATGCTTACTGGTAAGTGGGGAGGGGAGGCACAGATTCACAGAGCAGTTCAAACCAAACCACAAAATAAGAAAAATATCCTGATCATGGCTAGAGTCACTTTTTTCTTCTTTACTTATTCACGATTGTAAGGGCAATAGACTCCATTTTGCTTTAACAAACTCCATCTTGGATTGTGCCCTGCACTGAAAAACCAGCACCATCCGGTTTTTCCCACCAAAGCTGAAATCACATCAGGGGTGCACTATGCTGTACATGCCATGGGACATTTTGCACATGGCACAGAAACAGTGCATCTAGCTTTTCCCGCTCAAAGGACAATAAAAGGACTGTCATTCTGAGGGGCGAGGCTCCTCCTGAACACTTTGCTGCTTAGTCCTCTGATCCTCTAGTCTTTGGCCTGCTGCTTCTGGTTCATCCTGTTTGCACTCTCCGTGGCAAAGGCGTCGGAGTGAGGCCTACCATCTGGCTACAGGATAGAAGCTGCCTGAGGATCGGAATCTCTGAGCTGCTGTGAGTGCCTCCCTTCACACCCTCCATCGAAGGGTGGGGATTTGTGTCTAGGGAACATCCAGCACGGCTCTTAGGTTGCTTTGCCTCATTCCGGAATCCTGATCCTTGTGTGAAAGCCCTTGGGAACTCAAGGAATCTGCGATTAATCCAAATCGGAACATATCCGTGGGATCACCGAGTGTTCCTCCTGGACAGCAAGACCCCTGCTGAATAGAAGGTTCTAGGCTCACCTCTTCCCTCCATCTGTTAAATGTCATACTCCATCTAAACCAGACACCTGTAAAGTATTTTGACTTAACTTTTTGTATCAGGGAACCCTTTACTATCTTCTCCTCTCTTTTGGTTTGAGGGTGTGGGGTTGGTTTACTGGCTGTACTGGGGTTCTGTGTTGTCACATGCTGTGTATTGTTTCAAATTCTTTAATAGATTAGTTAAATTTACATTCAAGTTGCATTGTTATTTCGGCCAAATTAATCCACTGGTGATAGATACAGTTGTCAGGGGACCTGTGCTTCTGGTGTCAGGAACAAAATTAACATCAAGATCAGATCCTAATCCAAATTCCATTATTTTCATTTGTCATTACTGAGTTCCTGGGTAACACAATCGTCTCTTTGTTCAGTCCACTTCCATGCCTGGAATTCCTTGGAGGAATGGTAGTCCTGCTTGGGTTTAAATCATTCTGTCTCTATCAACGCCTGCTTTAAGCAGGCAAGGTACCTTATACAATTCATATTTCAGCACTTTATTCCTATTGGTTCTCCTGGCTTCCTGCCAACTCCCTTGTTAGCTACCTGAGTTTAACCCCTTAGTCACTGGGTGCTGGCCAGCACTACTCCTATCCATTACATTCCCCCCACCCCCAAATTACAGACGGTGCTGGACAGGGTGGCACACACTGGCTGTGATTTCTTCTGGAGATCTAGGATTAAAACATAGTTAATAAAGTACACACACACACTACATTTACTACTGGATACACAAAGAAGTAAACATTCCCCATATGCATGGAATACAATGACCTGAATATAGGAAAGGTTTCCATTACAGTCCAGTTCAGAGTTTCTTTTTCTTGTACCTTCCTCAGAAGCATCTGGTATTGGCAGGAGCAGGATTCTGGAGTAAAAGATCAGCTGGTCTGATCTGGTATAGGAATTCTATTTCGGTGTATCTTTTTCAGAATGTATTATAATATCTGAATATATATACAATACATTTTTCATAAAATATATTTTCTTGTTGAAAAGTTTTTTACTGGAGAAACACTACTGTGTATATTATTTTCTATAATGGACATTTTATAAAAACGGTGGAACATGTTTAAGCACTTATAAAGTATTAGTTACACACAAGAGAAGGATGAACCTCTCCATGTGTTTTAACAAGCACTTTGGATGAAATATTGGTCCTTTCACAGGATCAGCTGAAACAATATATAATTGAATCGGGAAAAGGTAATAAACTCTCACACCTAGGATAGCATATTAATACTAAAGATGTGAATGACTAGTCGACTATTGGATAAGCAAATGCTTACCAGACAGTTGACACACTAATTAACTACTCGCTTCTACCCCCACTTGCTGCCTCTGTCAGAAAGAAGCAGCAAGAAGAGGGGGTGCTTCAAAGCGGCAGCACCGCGTGGAGCCTGGGGCCAGACCTGGGCTCCACGCAGTGCTGCCGCTTTGAAACGGTGTGCAGCCAGGGGGCCCTTGAGGTGGGCTCCATGCGGCACTGGTGATTTGAAATGCCGTGCGGAGCCTTACACTGGGCTCCCTGTGGCATTTCAAAATGGCAGCCATGGAGCACGGGGCCAGCCGGGGACTGCTTGAATTCCCTGCTGGCCCTGTGCGCCCCACAGCGCTTTCGCCTTTGAAGTGTAGCAACAGCCAGGGCTGTTGCTGCACTTCAAAGTTGGAGGCACCTTTATCAGCTAATCAAATAGTCGATAGAAATTGCATTGACTATTAGATTAGCCCATTAATATAAATTTAACATCCCTAATTAATGCCTACAATGGTATTTCCACATTTAACATCCTTTACGATACCTGAAGTGATTATGCAGTTATGGCATTTTTACTTTGATTTTATTTGACTGATACATCAGTGTCACGTATCAATGTAGCAGTTCAAATGATATTTGGCTTGCCAGGATAAACACAAGCTATTGGAAACTCAAATTACAGTAAAACTCCCAATTGTCCGGGATCCAGTGGTCCGGCACTCCTGACAGTCCAGCACCAACTGGAACCAATTGGAGCTGCTGTGAGCCCCATGGGCGCTCGCGGCTGGGAAAAGA